ATGAAAGGGAACACTCATCATGGTAAAAAATTTTAAAATAAGAACTAATTTATAAGGTAGAGGGGAAATTAATTACTATGATACCAAATGGAATTTAAATTATATCTGCAATTAGACTTTACTAATCAAATGGTAATGTTTAATTAACATAATTTGTGAGTAAGTCATTCTTAATTTTTAAAGTTCAATTGAATAAATTTAAAAATAAGATTGGTGACAAAATCATGTTTTTGAAGTCAATAAGTTGATTTACATGCTAATGTCTAGCAAGAAAATAGCTTCACATCCTTCCTATTACCATCTTTGGGAGTGGTTTAAAGCCTTAATCTTAGATTCGTCCCGAACAGGATACCTCCCACAGAGAATACATGTGGTTTATAAAAAAAATAAAATAAATAACTTCACATAGTTTGGGCTACATTAATAAGTTTTGAATTGATTTATACATTATTTTAATAATCACCATTAAATTTTTTGTGATAATATATAACAGCTCTTTTAATCAAGGAGATGTATAATAAAAGGACTAAGGGCCCGTTTGGATGAACTTTTAAACAAATGACTTTTTATGCATTGCTTGTTTTAAAAGAACTTTTTCTAAAAGATAAAATTATTTTATGTTTGGATGTATAATATGAAAATCACTTTTGTATAAAAATGAGTATAGTAATAACATGTAGAGTAAAAGCAAAAACATTGCTTACTTTGTATAGTATATTAGATCACTAGCGGACCTATATTGTTGCAAGTGTGTGCAAGTGCAGACACTAACTTTTGAAAAGAAAAGAAAAAGTAGTCAGTGAATGATTATTCCATTGTATCACATTTTCTCCGGCTGTCTTAATTTTTGTATATTTATCATCTCGATTTGGTGGCGGAGCCAAGATTTCATTTTAGCTAGGGCCAAAAAATTTGACACATCAAATTATCAAAACATTTATCGTAATTACACAAATCTATTAGGAAAAAAGTTTACCATAAATTCTAGCATATTTATCTAAATTATTTACTAAATAATGTCACATAATATTGAAAATTCAAATAAACAATAGGCCACTATTATATATCAAAGCAAACATATAAAAACCATTTTAGTTTGCATCCATATTAATTTCCCCCTTGTGTCCCTTTGTAAATCCCAAAAGTTTCTGAACCCTTCATCAAGTTTTATGCAATATGATTATGCAGGCAGTGTCATAAGAAGCAGGGAATTGAAAAATTACAGAAAGAGAGGAGGGAGGATTGTGTGTGGGTTGCCATTATTGCCATTTGGTGTTGATCCATGGGCACCCACCATTGACTCACAGAGCATTGCTTCCCAGCTATTTGCGTTTTCCTTGTTTCCTTACATCCGCTTCTTATACTTCATTACCGTTCCGGATACTATTTATTTAGGCCCACCAGATGGGCCCAATCACTTAAAGCCCATATCTAGAACCTTCTAGAAGGCACCCATGGCAAGCCATAGAGGCTCACCATTGGGACATTCCCCTTCCTGCACAGCTTCTCCTCTACACTGACATGAGTAGCATGTCTTGTCTTAGGACAGCAGAGGGTTGGTCTTCCCCAAAAGAGGACTCTCCTCTCTAAATACCCCCCTCACACATGGAGGGGCGATCATCTTCTTCTTCCCTACTCCCTTCATATGTTGTCATACACACACACTCCCCCCTTGAGCACATACATGGGAAGCTCCACTAGTGCCTTGGTCTCTACCATGGTTACTGTGGACACCCTTATATCAATATACTTCACCCTCACAGGAGACATCTATGTACCACAAACAGTACAATTACCAAGTCCAAGACTGCTCCAAACCTCACCCTCTTTGGTTTCTATTTTTTGCTTGCCTTTGTTGGCGCCACAAGTCAGTTTATTTTTCTCTTTTTATTTTACTTCATGCTTTTTTCTTGCTTTCTTTAAAAATGTCAACTTTGCTGAATTGCTGAATAATTCAAATTGCATCCCACAAAACATGAAATTCTAGGTAACAGTGAAAGCCCAACCGAAGCAAAGAAAGCTAAGTCTAAGACACCTCGGAAACCAAAAGAAACCCTTCTGAAGCAGAGTCTCTCTCTTTCGATGTTGCATTCTCAGCGTTTCATAACTTTTATATTTTCAACCTAATTTTTATTTAATATTTTTGAATTTGCAGAATCTCCAGCTGAGTTCTTTGCAGAGAACAAGAACATCGCAGGATTTGATAATGTAAGCATAATTATAAAATAAGGTGAAGAAAATCAAAATAACGAGAACATACAGAGAGAACAACTACATTTTTGGTGAAGAAAATAAAAATAACGAGAACATATCTTTAGATCATAATCTTTAGATGAGAGAGAAATATAAATGTTAATTAAAATTCTGATGTAATGATATTTTAAAGTGGTAGGCAAATATAGGTAGAAAAAATGGTAGGTAGAATAATCTATCCCAATACTAATATAACCTTGCAATAAGTTAGCATTACACAAACACATTGACTTTTGCCTCAAAACAATGTCATTTTAGACTCATCGAAAATAATTTATCTCTGTTGACCGGAGAAATCGTTTATCCTTCATTTTAATTTTGAAACCATAATAAGTTGCGGTCATTCAACCTAATAATACGCCATTAAGCCGTCATCACCACATCACTCAAGTGGGCATTGATCTCATTTATACCAAGTATGAAAACATCTACGAAATTGTAGGCCTAATTTTCTACCCACAAGTTTCGGTTAATTTCGCAATAATAATAATAATAATAATACATTATTACACTCTGACTTTGATCTCGTCAGAGGTCAACACAACTCTTGACCTTCACCTCCTAAGTGGAAAGAACTCTGTTTCAGTCTAATGACACCAACCCACTGCGGCAATGTCACTGCTTCTCAATCCATGGCAGGATCAATTTTGTTGAAATTGTTTGCGTAATAACCAAAGCAAATATATCTAAATAATTAACAATTGGGACATGTAAGAAACTATAACTAAAGAACCGTTCAGTTATTTGTTTTCGATCTCAAACAATTTTTCTTTTTTTCTTTTCTTTTTTGGATTAAATTCATAAAACTCCGTTCAGTTGACCATTCGTCTATCCTAGCAATTTGTCTTTTTGATTAAATTATACTAGACACTGCAATTTTTTTTTAAGGTGGTGTTTAGTTGGGAGCTTTTCAGTGGATATCTATCTTTCTCAAGTATGACTTTTAGAAACACCATATTTGTTTCAACGTTTTTCACCAAAAACCCATCTATCCAATTTGTCTGGATTTATGAGAAACATAGATATCCGCACTGTTTAGAAACCCAATTTGAAGGTGGGATTTTTCGGAAAACCGGTTATCTGGCTTTTAATGCACTGTTGATTTCATAAAGTTACCTAATTTTTTCATTAAAGTTTTTCCCCACCAAACAACTTTTTTTTATATTTTTCTACCTATCTCACTTTATCTATCTTTCCAATCATTTCTCTATCTATCTCATTTTCCTACTATTCTAAAAAAAATTTCTGAACCAAACGCCCCCTAATGGTAAAATAACATACTTTTCTGTTAGTTTGGAGCATAATTCAGATCATGCGAACAAATAAAAAAAATAAGTGGAATAATTTGCATTTATAAAAAAGTGTTATTTTATATGTTTCGTTTAAGAATGATGAAAATAATAATAATAATAATAAAATATCGTAACATAAATTGCACATAAAATTTAATTGGAGGTACTTTACTTATTTTACTTCTTTTTGTGTACAGATCGATGACAATAAAGTATCAATTCCATTATCAAAGAGATGAAGTAACAATATATTTTGTAAACAGAAAGTACGCATAATAAACTTGTTATGTTGAAAAGGGAAAAAAGAGAGATAAATTTCCAAATCAAAAGTTTGTCATGTTAAATGGCATATGTATATCTTCACAATTTTTTTTTTTTTTTTTTAAAATGACATATGTATACAAAATTTGCAAGCTGATTGACGGAATGAAACTTAAGGGAAAACATTGGTATGATCATAAAAGTTAAGGAATGGAATAACAAATTAAAAGTAAAGAAATAAATCAAGGAACAAAAGATGTAATTTTATCCATGGTTCAATCCGAGTCAAATGGAGCAGTATTTTCACCCTGGCACTCTGTAGTGTGAGTTAACTTGAAAAATTATTTTTTCAAATATATAATATTTAATTTTATCTTCTATAATACACAAATTTAAAAGTATTCAGTGAAAAAAAAAAAGTAGACTTTATATAATTTGGATTGTCTCAATATATTTTAGGTAAAGTCTAAATTAAATTAGCACTAATATCTCTTCACATGTCCACTAGAATGATGGTTGCTGTACATACTATTAGGTATGAAATATCCCTTCAGATAAACACCATGTAGCATGAAAATAATTTTTTTCCAAATTATATAGATGTAAAGTGATATGTGTAAATGTTTGTGGGTGACATTATTCTATCTACTAAAACCAGATATTCTAATTAAACTGAGTTAACTACGTAAAAAATAAGTTATACTTAATAAGATTCCAATATTATATTATAAAATCAAGAGATGTTCTAAATATAGTTTAATTTAGACGTAATTAAGTGGTTTCGCACACGATCAAACTTCAAAATATATGACAAAACATACATTCTCGTGCCCATTTTTGTTTACCGAGCAAAAAATAATATTAATTATTGATTCTAAGTCAGACACATGTTCCATGAAAGAGACCAGACGCCGAAGAAAAGTTGACAAAAGAACAAGTAAAAATATTCCATGTATTTCCAATTTGTAGTACCTACCAACATCACACAAACTAAAAGTTAATTTGGCCATTTTGCACCATCATATACTATTGGAGCCAAATCCATAAATTTTTCATGCCCCACTCTTTCCCATTACTCTCACTATATAAACACACATTAACTCCAACCATTAAACCAACACCACCAACCAAATCATACTTTGCATTTCACACATTCCCTTGCACCTGTGAGACAATAAGAATATATATAGTACCATGGCTGCTAAGTTTGCACAGGGACTTATCATACTAGTTATCACTGCTTCAATGTTTGCAGTGTGCATGGCCAACAAGGACTGGTCCTCTGGTTTCAACTATTCCGATGGGTGGTCTAGGTTCGGGAATCAATGCAAGAACAAAACACAAGCACAATCCAAGCAGATACTCGTGGGTGGTTCGGAGCATTGGCACTTTGGCTTCAACTATACCGATTGGGCCTTCAAGAATGGTCCATTTTACATCAACGATACTCTTGGTGAGCTTATTCAGTTCTCTCTTCTTCATTTTGATGCATGTCACACAAGTTTTAAGGATAAGAATAAAGAAGAGAAAATTAAATTTTTTAGGGATATGATATTATTACTACCAAATAATGTTACTACCAATGTTACTACTACATCTTAACTGTTGATTTCCGTCAATCAACGGTTATTATTTTCACAAATCAAACTCATTAATTAATTATTAATTTGCAATAAATGATAACCGTTGATTGACGAAAATCAACTGTTAAGATATGGTAGTAACATTGGTAATAATATTATTCTATCATAATTTCTTATTAGAATAATAAGGGTTATAAACTTATAACAATTGAATTCTAGACCACTTGATTATAGAAGATATGATACTATGTTATGAACCAACAATTTTAAAACTTAAACACCAAGACACATGTTAGAGAGACAAAATAAAATCATCCAAGGTCTATCACTTTATTGAGTTGAAATGATTGTTTAATATGATATAAGAGCCAATGTGACTAATTGTCATTCGACTAACTGAGTTCAATGGTTTTATATTAGGGATTCAAACTTCTCTAGTTGCAAGAGAAGTTTTGATTTTCCTATAAATAGAACAAAGGGTGGGCCTTATTTTTTTTTTTAAAAAGTGAAGCACAAATTTCAAAGTGAGACAAATATGAGAATACACTTATCCTATAACATAGAAGTGTTTTTCCCAACGATGCATAAATGATTTTTATATTACATCTTTTAATACTAACCGCTATCAAAGGATGCTAATCTATTTGCAAGAATTTGTGGTGTAGTTTTCAAGTATGATGCTCCAAACGCCACCACTTTCCCACACAGCGTGTACATGTTTCAAAATTTCTGGAGCTTCTTGAATTGTGACCTTAAAAGGGCTAAGATGCTGGCGAATCCCACACAAGGTGGAGGGGAGGGCTTCAAGTTTGTGTTGAAGAAGTGGCAGCCTCATTACTTCGCCTGTGGTGAGAGAAATGGATTCCATTGCAACAATGGGACCATGAGGTTTGCTGTGATGCCAATGCTTCGTCCTTTCTGGCCCTGGCCATGAGAAAATTGAAGCAACAAGTAGCTACAGCTCTTGCAAACACTTATGGGGCTTGTTATAGTTTTGGTTTTCTTATATATGTTTGAAGCTTTTAGCAAATAAAACGTTGTGGTCTAAGGTTGGTTGATTTTGATCAATTTATTTATACTTTTCAATATTGTAATGCAATCTGATATATTGTTAAAAAGTTTATAGGGTGAACAAATGTTGAAGGAGTTGTTGCTTGCTTCTGTTTTGACATGTCCAACAAATGTGACTTTGATAATTTATATATTGAAAAAACTTTAGTTTTGATGAATGTTTGGCTTAATAGTTAATTCTTTCCTCAATTACTAGGAGTTAGCTTCAGCCCATGTTAAGTACTCAATTAATCACTAAATATTACAATTGGAAATGTAATATTGTCTACTCTTTGATGATACATCGACTATGTTTTGGTCAGACTTGGAAGTCAAACGCTAGACAAGCAATACTGAATTGTTATTCATTCCTTTTTGGAATCCTGATTTTGATAGCAAAAAGGACACTTTTCTGATTCTGATTTTGTCCTTGTCGATCTCAACTTTAATAAAATGGCTTAGAGCTTTCAACTTAGTTTTAATTAAATTAATGGGGATGGATGCTTGTGGGAACATGTTCTGGAAGGGAAATAACCTGAGAGATAGGGGATGAAGACGGGATAAAGTAGAGGATGAAGTTTTGGCAAACACTTGAACTTCACAACAAGGTTTCTTAATCCACCAATCAAAATGAACAATTATTGATAATTCTATAAAAAAGAGAGTTATTATGTCTTAGTGTTTTGCTAATTCCTTAAATTCTTTATAAATTGTCAAAACTTGGTGCTTTTTTTTATAATATTTATAGCTTCTTGTGCTTTCCTGTTGAATTTGATTTGTAACTAAATTGGATTTAATTATATAGGATTCACGACCTCATTGGAGTATATATATATATATATATATATATATATATATATATATATATAGAGGTATGATCTTTTGACACCAGTGTCAAATTTGAAATTTGACACCTCATCTGTGAGCCGTTAGATCAAAAAATATCAACGACTCTTATTTGTAAACATGTGACACCATTGATCTTTTTTGATCTAACGGCTCTCAGACGAGGTGTCAAACTTCAAATTTAACACTGGTGTCAAAGCATCTTATCCAATATATATATATATATATATATATATATATATATATATATATATATATATAGGGAGGATCCTTTGACACCGGTGTCAAATTTGAAGTTTGACACCTCATCAGAGAGCCGTTAGATCAAAAAAGATCAATGGTGTCACATGCTTACAAATCAGAGTCGTTGATATTTTTTGATCTAACGGCTCTCAGATGAGATGTCAAACTTTAAATTTGACACCGGTGTCAAATGATCTTACCTCATATATATATATATATATATATATTGAGTAATCTCAAAAATATTCTCTAACCGTAATCGAAAACTATTCTTCAACGAATGCTATCCCTTTCGAGATAGCTCCTCCAAATTCTTTTTTTCAATTCTCGGGACTAGAACTCAAGACATCTAATTAAATAACTCAGATTTTTTATCACACGTGCCAAAGGAATTTGGCATTGAAGCATATTTTTTTTTTTTGATAACCATTGAAGCATATTTTTATCTTAAAATAAACGTTCACCGTGTCAAAAGAATAAAAAGAATCAAGCTAAATCTAAGTCAATAAAAATGAAGTCAAAATATAAATCCATGTCAACTATTTTTTTTTTTTTTTGGTGAAAAAATCCATGTCAACTTTATTAGGCTCAATGGAGCAAATTTGGAACCGTAGACCTTAAATGAGAATTATTTAATTAATAATTAATACAAATGTTTAATCCATTTGTTTTTCATTTTTTCACCAAATTAAGATAAAATTTAATTAAAAAAATTATCAAGCCTAAAATAAAGACATCATTCTCCCCTCCTCCACTAGCGTATGGGTTGAAGGGTTTTAGTTACAAAGAGGAGTAACGATGCATTGTATCTGTGGCAGAGCCACAATGGTTTTGCTAAAACCCCAAATTCGCAATCACCGTTGTGTTTCACTTTCAACACAGTGTCGTTCCAGCGACGACGCCATTTTGGGAGAGAAAGCAATCTTATACCTGAAACGACATCCTTCAAACCTAGCATCAATAGTTCCCCACTTCACTCCACAAGCAGCTTCCCACGTTCTCCTCAATTCCCAATTCCACAAACCCACACTCATCAAGTTCCTCAATTGGGCCAAACCCTACCCTTTCTTCACCCCTCAATGCAAGTGCCTCGCTCTCCACCTCCTCACCCGCTTCAACCTCTTCAACTCCGCCCAATCCCTCGCCGAGGAACTCGCCGACGAGCTCCCCGACCCCACCGGCGCCGTCGTCTTCCGCCACCTCCACGACTCCTACCACTCCTGCAACTCCACCTCCTCCGTCTTCGATTTAATCGTCAAAACCTACTCTCGCCTCAACCTCATCGATAAAGCCATCAACATCCTCAACCTCGCTAAACGACACGGCTTCATGCCTGGCGTTTTAAGCTACAACTCAATCCTCGATTCGGTTCTGAAATCCAACTCAAAACGCTGCGTTCAAAGCGCAAAGTGCGTTTTCGCAGACATGATACGAAACGGCGTGTCGCCGAACGTGTACACTTACAACGTCATGATACGCGGCGTCGTTGCTTATGGGAGCTTGGAAACGGGTTTCCGTTTAATGCGCGAGATGGAGAGGAAAGGTTGTTCCCCCAACGCGGTCACTTACAACACGCTGATACACGCGTCTTGCAAGTGGAAGCGTATACGGGAAGCGTTTCGGTTATTGAGAGAAATGTCGTCGTTCGGCGTTTCGCCGAATTTGGTGTCGTATAATGCTGTCATCAACGGTTTGTGTTTGCAAGGGAAAACGACGGAGACTAAAGAGGTTCTCGAGGAGATGAAACGCAAGGGAATTTCTCCTGATGAGGTCACTTATAACACGCTTGTGAATGGTTTTTGTAAAGAGGGAAATTTCCATCACGCGTTTTGTCTTCATTCGGAGATGAAATTGAAGGGTTTATCTCCCAATGTTGTTACTTATACGACGTTGATCAATAGCATGTGTAAGTCCAAGAATCTAACACGCGCGATGGAGCTTTTGGATCAGATGCGTCTCAGGGGATTGTTTCCCAATGAGAGAACTTACACTACTTTAGTTGATGGATTCTGCAAACAAGGGTTGCTCAATGAAGCTTATAAGGTTTTGAGTGAAATGGTTGTTAGTGGATTCTCGCCGTCGGTTATAACTTACAATTCAGTTATCCATGGATATTGCTTTCTTGGGAGGGTTGATGAAGCCGTTGGGATTTTAACGGATATGGTTACGAGGGGTTTGTTTCCTGATGTTGTTAGTTACAGTACCGTTATATCCGGGTTTTGCAGGAACCGAGAGTTGGAGAAAGCTTTTGGGATGAAGGTGGAGATGGTTGAAAAGGAAATCATGCCTGATGCTGTTACTTATTCGTCGCTCATACAAGGTCTCTGTTTGCAGCGAAAGCTGTCGGAAGCTTTCGATCTCTTCCGAGAGATGCTGCGTCGCGGTCTTAAACCGGACGAGGTTACTTATACTAGTTTGATGAATGGTTATTGTGTTGAAGGTGAATTAAGTAAGGCTATTGGTTTGCATGATGAGATGGTAAGGAAGGGTTTTTTGCCTGATGATGTTACCTATAGTGTGCTTATCAATGGACTTAATAAGAAAGCCAGGACAATAGAAGCGAAGAAGCTTCTTCTCAAGTTGTTTTACGACGAGTCCGTGCCGAATGACGTGACTTACAATACTCTGATAGAAAACTGCATTGATAATGAATTTAAGAGTGTGGTGGCTCTTGTCAAAGGATTCTGCATGAAGGGCTTGATGGATGAAGCGGATCGAGTTTTCAAGACAATGCTTCAGAGGAATTATAAGCCTGATGGAGCAGTTTATAATTTAATAGTACATGGACATTGTAGATGTGGAAATGTTCGTAAGGCGTATAAATTGTACATGGAGATGGTGCGTTGTGGTTTTGTTTCTCATGCTGTGACTGTAATTGCTCTTGTTAAAGCTCTATCTAGGGAAGGGATGAATGATGAGCTGAGTCGGGTAATGCGAAACATATTGAGGAGCTGTAGGCTCGATGACGCTGAGGTAGCTAAAGTACTTGTTGAAATTAACTTTAAAGAAGGTAACATGGATGCTGTTTTAAATGTGCTAACTGAAATGGCCAATGATGGCCTGCTACCTGATGGTGGAAAGTATTCATATGCTCCAGCAAGTACCTAATATCTTCTTTGTTTTAAATGTGTTGAAATGTGTTATCTTTAAATTTGAACTGACCCTTCTTGCTAACATCTAGCATGATTGGACTTGGAGATTTACATTGTGGAAATGAAATTCTCCATTGCTAGGAAAATAATTTATCATTTCTTTTCTGGAGCTCCACAATAATCAAAGATCACCTTCTTGACTAGGTAAATCATCTCCTATATCTATCTTCTTTATGAATTCCTAAAACAAAATTTACTTGTGAGGTATTGCTTGTCATTGAGTTTTTCTTTTTTACTTTCCATTCTTGCCTTAATGTTATTACACTAACCATAAGGATGAAATGGAGTGGTCATTTCCTTCCTAATAATGCCAAAGATGTTAAAAGGATTGATGATTCCATTCCCATTCCCTTTCATTCAAATGCCATTCCAACAAACCAAATATGACCTTAATTTTGAATTGTTGGGCATGAAGTAACTTGCTATCAATCATAAATTTTTGTTTTTCTTAGTGTGTCCTTTAAGTGATAAGTTCTTGTAGTTGCTAATTTTCTTTCAAATTATTTGGGAATTATGTTTTATGAATTTTGGTAAATTTTGAAATTGTGCTGAAGTGGAGAAAGTTTTCTCTGGACATGATCCACCGTTTATTATAGCACTTGAATTATAAAATTTGAATCTTACCATCCTTGCAAAGCTCCGGGAATTAGATGCTTTTTATTTGTATTTTGTTCTGTTTCTGCTGAACAAATTTCGCTGGTAATAAGGTATGAGTGAAGGATATTAGGGACTCCTATTTTAGAGAGCTAGATGGGTTCAACTCAATTGTTTTATTAGTATGACACAGGTTCTTGATTTTCTTCCAGGTTTTGAATTTTAAAACATTGATGTCAAACTCCTGCTTTATTGGCTATTTTGATTTCTTATGGAGGCAAAAAAAATCTGGAGAATAGTGGTTTATTGTACTCTTCGAATCTTCGTTGCTCCTTTATTTCTTGGACATATTGAAATTTCTTCACAGCAGATGGAAATTCATGTACCAACTATCAAATATGTCCATTAATGTTATTGATGAAAACAAAGATGAATGGAAAAGTTAGACTAGCTGACAATGATAATCTGCATCTTGAAACCTCCAATAGCATTTAAAAGTTCAAACTGTCAAACATAATATTATATTGATCTATAAAATTATTGGTAACTTGGACTTATCCGTTCCACTTTTTGCACACGTTGTGGCATTTTATTTTACTTGCACCCATTACTTTTTTTTAACACTATTTAAATCAAAGATGGGATGATAATAAGATTGAAACTGTGATTTCATTTTCACCCTTTTTGTTGGCAGATAACTCAGCAATTGCAATTGAAAATGAAATATGGGTGGTCATAAGATTGCAAGATTTGACTGGACACAACAATCTGGTACAATGCTATGAATATGATGCATTTGAAGACCAAAATAATGTCGACATCGTGATGGAGTAAGTTTGTTATATTCGCTGCCCTTTTCAGATTATATCATATATAGTAGTAGTGCCATAACAATTATAGTGAAGTTTCATTTTCCTGAATATTTTGATAGGTTTACTAATAATCTCCCTTGCAGTATACTATTTAATAGAACCCTATGATCTTTACTCTTAATTTCTGATATCATAAGCTTTAAAATCTTTGTGGATTCTAATTTGAGTTATTCTATGTGCATTGCTTATGAGAGTGTTTTACTAGTTTTTTGGATATTAATTGGATCCTATTAATATTTCAGGTATTGAGGGTTTGCTCTTCACCATCATCCCTCTTTGGATTTATTAATTCAAATACCATGTTGAATTATAAGGAAACGATAAAAAATGGAGGAGAGATAATATTATTAATTTGATTATATGTGCTATAAAAGATTAATACATTTATTCGAGGTTAAGTACTAGTGTAGTACAACTCGTACAAGTTCAGTCCAATTAGACACATACAAATAATAAGAATATGGCAATGAGGGTTAGCTCAAATGCTTTTGGGTTCGATTCTTGCTGATGGTCCTCATTGGTAGCTTATTTGTAACAACTGTTATAAGCCCTTGTTGAAGTTTGTGGCATTCATTGACCTTAGAATGAGGCAACCTTCCTTCCCCCTAAATTCTTAAACAAAAAAGAAAATAATTGTTAATATCCCTACTGCCCATTGGTTCATGCCACTGGAATCCCTTTTATTTTTTACCCAAAAAAAATAAAGTTTGTTCTTAAACTACGATTATATTTGGATGGATGGAATAGAATATTTAGTTTTGGAGTGGAGTGGAGTGGAGTGTTAAAAGGAACTCGATTCATTGTTTGAGAGTTTTTTGTAATGGACTAATTGGTTGAGGGGAAGTTAAATCATTCCATATCACTTAAATATCTTGAATTTTCAAATCTTCCATTTTAGAGAGTTTGGAATAGAAAACATTTCAGATTATTATTGTTTAAATATTTTAGATAGTCATTCATGGTTTTAACTTTAACACTCTAATCCTTTTTCATATAATTTACTTCATTCCATTGATTACAATTGAAGCTTCCAAATATTAGAAAGGGCTCCTTATCATTCCTTCATTAAAACTTACAAATAATAAAGTGGTATTTTTTTAACATCTTTAGTCCATGTCATTTTAAACAACTCTAGTGAATTATTCAACTCCGTTTCATTCTAAACTCCTAAATATAGTCTTCATGGTAATAAAAATGTCTCTGACGGGTAAGTGAAGGCTCCCTTATTGTCCTCGCATTTTTTGTACCCTGAGAAGTTTGCTCATAAACTATATTTGGATAGATGGAATAGTGTTTAGTTTCGAGGGTTAAAAGGGACTCTATGTGAAGGCATTTCTCATTGGAAAAAGATGGAGGAATTGAAGGTATCTTTAAGTTTTACAACACATTTGGTTTTGATAAAAGTTATGAGAAAATTATTATTTTTTCCTCAAATGGTTTTGTTTATTTTAATTACAGAACAAGTTAATCTAAAGATACTCGCTAAATTATGATAAACCGTAATCAAAGTAAAATAATTAATGTGGACTTTAAATCTAGCTACCCTCCCACCATGTTTATGATTTGGCGTTTGCAAACCGTGAACTAAATATATTAAGCAATACTCCCCCCAAAATCTGTTTCTTCGATGCCAAATTAAATTAGTCAAACGTGACATGCTATTTGGTAGGTACAAGTACAACTAATATAAAATATTTTTTGGAGAAGTCATAGCTGTTAAATGGAGGGATAGAGATGTAATATGTGAGTTGTAGTCTCTATAAAAAACAATTAATATAAAATACATTAATGATAAATCTTTTTCAGAATTATTCATATAAAATGTCAATTATATATCTTTATTAATTTTTTTTTTATTTGCATCAGGGTATCCCCACAGCCGGTAGTTATGAGACTAATCCCCTGTTCCGGGTCAGCGCACAAAACAGTAAAGGGTTGGCCACAGAATGCTTTCCATTCACAAGAGTTGGGGATTGAACCCCCAACTACTTGCTTAAGGGATGAGATGTTGAACCATCACGCCCACCTATCTTGGTTAAAATATTTTTTCTTGGGGCAGGTTATATTTACAAACTTTTTTGTTTACAAACTCTTACAAATTACACTATGTTCTCTCGGGAGAACACTGATTTCACTATCTTCTCCCGGAAGAACATAGTGTAATTTGTAAAAAAAATTCAAAAAAATTTGTAAACAAATCCTTCTCCTTTTTTCTTATACATGATTTAACAATTTACTTATTTACTTGGTGTTTCTTAAACTAAGTCGATTATTAATAAAAGTGTAAAGTTGTAAAAAACTAAATAATAATAAACATAACTAAATATAATAGTCAATTATGGATGCTAACACTAAAGGGATGACGCGCACTCCAAACTCGTTTTTATATAAAAACCTTTATGCTTTTTTATCTGATTAATTTTCTCTCAATTCGATATTTATGTAGAATATAATATCATATTCTAAGATGGGGCAGATATTCTTACACGTAAGAGTTAGAAGTGTTACAAATTTATATTTGTGAGAATTATTAATAGTAACACAATATTATATTCCATTTGAAGGGCTGACCCTTCAAATTCACGTCATCGACTTGTGTTTCTGGTTTTAAACTCCATTGTTTTGGTCCTCCTCCTTCCCCCACTTGGTCTCTTGCAGATTGCAATCAATGTCTTCCTCATCATCAAACACCACAAATCCCAAATGGATATACCAAGTTTTCTTAAGCTTCCCAGTGGAAGATGATGATGTCAAGTCTTTCATTGTTACTCTCAATGCAAAATTAGGAATGACTGGAATCCAAACTTGCTTTGACCATATGGATATGGTTCAAAATGAACAGGAAATATCGCTGCTCTCACAACTACAATCAATCGAAGTTTCTAGGAGTTCTATCATTGTTTTTTCTGAATCATACGCTGGCTCTAGGTGGTGTCTACGGGAGCTAGAAAAAATCATGGAGTGTCACAGAGCCAAGGGTCAGGTGGTTTTGCCAGTGTTCTATGGCGTGAAAATGTGGGAAGTACGCAAGCAAAGCGGTAAGTTTGGACATGTGTTTGAACAAATGATAAAGAGAACATCAGTGCAGGAAAAAACTCAGTTGAGTTGGAGGAGAGCCCTGGCTGAGGCTGCTTTCTTTCCCGGTTGCTTTGTGCCGTCTTACAGGTAATATATATACATTGATAATAGCTTGTGTTTTCTATGGAAAAAAAAATGCTTTTTGAGTTCCGATTTTTATTTAATACTTTCTGTTTTTAAGTAATTAAGAGAATATTAATTTTATAAGAACTAAACTGTAGGTCCAATTGGCGGAGACCTTCGGTTTAACTTAAAATTGTCTTCTTGGTTGTCATAACACTCCAAAATTAATTGCCTCTAGACAGTATGTCTTTCAATCATTTTATTCCTGCAGCTATGAATAGTAGCCAATGTTATTTCCTTCCAAATTGTTTTATTGTTGTTAGTTCATGCCTGATAAGAACTTTGGGATACGTCATCCCAAAAGTTAGCTCAAAGGGTAGGAGTGCTCGAGGCCTTATAAACCCTACATTAGTTGTCCATACAACCAATGTGGAACTTCAAATCTCATACCTTGCAAATGGGATCGTAACATTCCACCACCCTCCGCAGCCTCGGCGCCCATATGGGTTGGCTTTTCGCTAGTCTTTTACTAGCTCTGGACGAACACTGCAATGCCGGCGTCACCACTTGCTCCGCTCGATTGCAACCGGGAGATATAGTGGAAGGCTCTGATACCATTTGATAAGAACCTTGGGATGCACCACCCCAAAAGCTAGCTTAAAGGGTGAGAGTGCTTAAGGCCTTATAAACTATGTTGCACCGACACCGACACAGGACATGGGATACGACACGACACTCCGACATGTTAATTCTAAAAAATGTTAGATTTCGACATGTTAGGACACGTTTTGATATTAAATAACATTTTAAATTTATGTAGTATATATTATATTTAATATTCAATAATTTAACAAAAAAATAAGCTAAACTTATAATATCAATCAATTTTACAAAAAAACATAAGATATTCTAAATATTTATATTAAACTCAATAAAATGGTAATCGTAATCTAACGAATCTAATAGTTGGAACTAAAAACGCAATGCAACGCAACGTTTGAATCTTTTTTTGAGTCTATGCAATGCGTGTTGGAGTCTCGAAGAGTGTCAGGGTATCGGGGAGTGTCGGGAAGTGTCGGACACGTTAGGATTTTGAAGTGTCAGTGCTTCATAGCTTATAAACCCTACATTAGTTGCCCATACAACTAGTGTAGGACTTCAAGTCTCATACCTTGCAAATGGGACCGCCTGGGGCTAGTAAAAGACTAGAGCAAAGCCAGCCCGCGGCGCCGGGGCTGCAGAGCGTGGTAGAATGTTACGATCCCATTTGCAAGGTACGAGACTTGAAGTCCCACACTAGTTGTATGAGCAAGTAATGTGGGGTTTATAAGGACTTTGACACTCCCACCTTTTGAGCTAGCTTTTGGGGTGATGCATTCTAAGGTTCTTATCAATGCCAGATCCATCTTTTTAGTAGATGATACTATAAATTACATGTATATCATTTGTAAATGCATATATATTATATAGATGTTTCTTTTCTCTGATGCCTAATTTTTGTTCCCGCAGTGATACTGTTTTGGACATTGATGCTTTTGGTGAAAAAAACAAGGTAGCTGGGATTATTGTTGACGCAGTTCATATGATACTAGGTGGTAAATATTTGTCCCGCCCGCGCCATCCAGTTGGGATTGATTTGCATGCGAAAAATGTGTTTGACTTGTTGAGTTACAGTAGTGAAGGAGTTCACTTTGTAGGAATATGGGGAAAGGGAGGAATTGGTAAAACAGCTCTTGCCAAAGTCATTTACAACAGAATGTATGACAGTTTTGAGGTTTCCAGTTTCCTTGCAAATATTAATGATTTATGGATGCGGGACAACGGCAAAGATTATCTACTAAAACATCTTCTTTCAGACATGGTTAATACAGAAGACATGAAAATATATAGCGTTGAAATGGAAAAAATACTTTCTCATAAACGAGCACTTCTAGTATTTGATGATGCGGGTGAAGTGGACCAACTGATATCGTTATGTGGAAGTCGTGAATGGTTTGGTCCTGGGAGTGTAATATTGATTACAACTAGACAAAAGTATTCATATCCTTTCCTTGAATTCGATTTTACATATGAAATGAAGGAAATGGACACAAGTCAATCACTCGAGCTTTTTAGCTGGCATGCGTTTAAGCATTTTAGTCCTAGCGATGGTTTCATTAAACTCTCAAGAAAAGCAATTACTCATTGTGGAGGACTGCCACTGGCTCTGGAAGTTTTGGGCTCGTTGTTACTTGACAGAACAACATCAGAGTGGAAAGGTGTATTGAGGCTACTTGAAAGAAATGAAAGTTATGCAGTGTCCAAGATGCTAAAAATGAGCTATGAATTTCTAGATGATTATGAGAAAAAAACATTCCTTGAAATAGCTTGTTTCTATATTGGAAAGGACAGACACAGTATTACACAATTATTAAATGGCTGTGGACTTCCTGCAGAAACCGGGATAAGTAAACTGATTGACCGGAGCCTTCTAAAGGTTGATAAGAATAACAAGCTTGAAATGCATGATATGTTGCAAAAGATGGGAAGAGAAATGAATCATTTTAAGCCAAAATCCAAATGCATCCACAATGTATTCTTGAGTTTCAGAGGACAAGACACTCGAAGGTCTTTTACTTCTCATCTCTGTGATGCTTTTCAAAATGCTGGTGTTGATGTTTACATGGATGACAAACTTGAAAGGGGAGAAGATATCTCATCCTCGTTGTTGCAAGCAATTGAAGGTTCTAGAATTTCAATAATCATTTTCTCAATAAACTATGCTAATTCAAGATGGTGCCTTCAAGAACTGGAGAAAATCATGGAGTGTCATAGAACTGTTGGTCAAGAAGTTCTACCTGTATTCTATGGTGTGGAACCGTCGGAAGTGCGTAACCAAATCGGAACTTTTGGAAAAGCATTTGAAGGACTTGTGCAGAGAAGCTCAGCTACCAAAGATATGATTATTAGTTGGAAAAGAGCACTCCGTGAAGCTGCAAACTTGTCTGGATGGAATTTAAATAATTACAGGTAATCTAAGTGTTTTTTTTCTTTTTTTCTTTTGCAGATACTTACCATTTACTTGTATGCCATCTACCATGCCTAAAACAGTCGAGTTCCTTTCTTTGATTTGATGCATGAAGTAAACAATGGAATGTGAATGATTATAGTTTTCACTATGGGAGTAGAAAAGAATGGTAAAGTTGACAGCAGCTTAGGTCAATAGTCATTTATGAGAGGGTACGCAGTTGAAGGCTACTGAATTATTCAAGTTTACATCTGATGCATCTTGTCTTTGATTATCCACTTATATTCTGGACAGTTAGGTCATCATGTTAGGGATCAAGTAACCAAAAGAAAATAAACTTTGTTTCAAACTACAGACAGTAGCCAAAATTTACTTGGAAATATCTACCGAAATTGGTCAATTCAATTCGAAGTATTTAGTGCATGTTTGGATTAGCTTATTTTGGGATTAAAAAAGATTTTAGTCAAAAGCTTTTGAAAAAGAAAAAAGAAAATATTTTTCCCAAACATGTGCTTATTTCTGTTTTTGTAAAGAACCTTGAGATACATCACCCCAAAAGCTAGCTCAAAGGGTGAGAGTGCCTAAGACCTTATAAACTCCACATTAGTTGCACATACAACCAATGTGAGATTATATATCTCAACACGCCTCCTCACACGAGAGCCCATTGGGCTTGAAGAGTGGACAATGCAACAGGCCCAGCCTACCTGTGCTAAGAAATGCCACAAGAGAAAGTGGGGGGCGGCGAGGCTCTGATACCATGTAAAGAACCTTGAGATACACCACCCCAAAAGCTAGCTCAAGGGGTGGGAGTGCCTAAAGCTTATAAATCCCACACTAGTTGCCTACACAATCAATGTGGGACTCCTAACATTGCCACCCCGTTTAAGGCCGACGTCCACGACGGCTTTCACTCTGACCCGATGGTAGCCTTTTCCCCCTTTGGGCGGCTTCACCCACCTATCAGGTAGCCCTTTCCGCAGTTCGACTCTCGTGTGAGGGGGCGTGTTGAGATATATAGTCTCACATTGGTTGTATGTGCAACTAATGTGGAGTTTATATATCTCATTTTTGATATGAATGATCCACTCCAAATCACTCCCCCCTTTTGATAGATTGTGCTTTTAATATAGTAAGAATTATTTAGTAGATGATTAATTTATCTGATTTTTAATTTATTGTTTTTGCCAGAACTGAAATCAATTTGATTGGTGATATTCTTAAAACTGTTACCACAAAGCTAGATGATGGCACATACTTATTTGTCGCTGATCACCCAGTGGGAGTGGAATCTCGTGTGCAGGATATGATTCAATTGTTAAGTGGTAAATTAAATGAGGTTCTCATAGTAGGCATCTTGGGCATGGGAGGAATTGGAAAAACAACCATTGCCAAAGCCATTTACAATGAAATCAATCAAAATTTTGAAGGTAAAAGTTTCCTTGCAAATATAAGGGAAGTTTGGGACCAAGATAATGGCCAAGTTTGTTTGCAAGAACAACTTCTTTCAGGTATCTTGAAAACGAGAAGGATGAAATTACATAACATTGAATTGGGGAAAACTATAATAAAGGAAAGCCTTTGCCAAAAACGTGCGCTTGTTGTACTTGATGATATAAATAATTTGGACCAGCTAAATGCTTTGTGTGGAAATCGTGAATGGTTTGGTCAAGGGAGTAGGTTAATCATCACAACTAGAGATGAACATTTACTGAATGTTCTTCAAGTGGACAATATATACAGAATGAAAGAAATGGAAGATAGTGAGTCTCTTGAGCTTTTCAGTTGGCATGCATTTAAGCAAGCTGCTCCAATAGCAGATTTCATTGAACTCTCGAGAAGGATTGTTGCTTACTCTGGAAGACTACCACTAGCCCTTGAAGTTCTTGGCTCTTACTTGTTTGAAAGGGCAATTGCTGAGTGGGAATGGGCGTTGTCAAAACTTCAAATTATTCCCAATGATCAAATACAGAAGAAATTAAAATTAAGTTTTGATGGTTTAAGCGATGATATGGAGAAAGATATATTCCTTGATATATGTTGTTTCTTTATAGGTAAGGACAGAAACTATGTTACTCAGATTTTAGATGGTTGTGGTCTTCATGCAGAAATTGGGATGACTGTCCTTATAGAGCGAAGCCTTGTAAAAGTTGATAAGAATAACAAGCTTGAAATGCATGATCTGCTGAAAGTCATGGGAGGAGAGATCATTCGTGAGACCTCACCAGAGAAGCCTGAGAAGCGTAGCAGATTATGGTTCCATGATGATGTGGTAGATGTGATGACAAACAACACTGTAAGAACTTTCTCATAACCTTTATCATATTGCTCACATGCATTAGATCAACAAGATATTCTTTTTCATTTTATCTTGCTTTTGATTTTACAGGCAACAATAGCTGTCAAGGGACTGTCTTTCAGTTTACCAAAAACCAATGATGTTAGTTTTGATACTAAAGCATTTAAGAAGATGAAGAGACTCAGATTGCTTCAACTTGGTCATGTTAAACTTACTGGGGATTATGAATATTTATCAAAAGACTTGCGCTGGCTCTGTTGGCGTGGATTTCCTTTTAGACACATTCCTGTGAACTTTTATCAGAAAAAGATAGTTGCTATTGACTTAAAGTACAGCAATCTACATCTAGTCTGGAAGGAGCCGCAGGTGATTAATTAAAATGATTTTTTTCCTTGATAAACATAAAAGTTGACATCCAATTCATTTTTTATTTTTAATTTTTTTTTTTCAGTTGCTGGATAGGCTGAAAATCCTCAATCTGAGTCATTCCAAATACTTGACACGAACCCCGGACTTTTCAAAACTACCAAATCTTGAAAAGCTAGTGCTCAAAGATTGTCCACAATTGTTGACGGTTCACCGGACAATTGGAGATCTCAAATATCTCATTCTGGTAAATTTGAAGGACTGTAAATCCCTCAACCGCCTCCCAAGAAGTATCTACAAGCTGAAATCTCTGAAATCTCTTGTTCTTTCTGGCTGTTCAAAAGTTGACAAATTGGAAGAGGACATCATGCAAATGGAATCCTTGACAAATCTAGTGGCTGATAACACTGCTATCACACAAGTTCCCATTTCTCTAGTGAGATCAAAAAGCATCAAATATGTGTCTCTGTGTGGCTATGAAGGATTATCACGTGATGTATTTCCTCGACTAATTTTGTCTTTTATGTCGCCAACAAGAAATCCTATGTATCAAGTTTTTGGGAGCATTTCATCTTCACTTCGAAGTCTTTCACTTGGTTTATCTGCCAAAAATTATGCAGAATCAGAATCAAGACCAAGTACATCTCAGATAACATATACAGATACTCCCAAATTAATTGACTTTGAGAACTCCATTCACATGTCAGGGTCAGAAAATTTCACAAGTTCTCTTGTCATTCAAGCTGGAGAGCGCAGCAAAGCCACTGATACTCTTACCGAGAGTATTTCACAGATAGCATATACAGAAACTCCCACATCAATTGATTTTCAGAATTCCATTAGCATTTCAGGGTCTGAAAATTTCAACAGTTCTCTTGTCATTCAAGCTGGAGAGTGCAGCAAAGCCACTGATACTCTTATAGAGAGCATTTCACAGGTTCCTTTCTCTCTTGGTCTCTTAGTAATCAAACTATTACTGTCAATACAAATCATTTCCCTATATTGGAAGACTTCAGAAACTTCAAAAATAGACTTATAGAAATTAGATAGAAGTTTTGTGAATTGCTTGAGTGAGAGGATTCAGTATCCTTGATATTTATATGCATAAAATAATAAATACATTTTATATTTACAAGAATAAAAAAAAAAAAATTAAACTATTTCCTATGACTGTAATCTTTCTAATCATACATTAACTCCCATTATTCCCATAAAACATAATCGCTATCACTATTTTCAAGGAAGGACACCTCTCCAATTTCAATGTATACTGTTACAACTCAGTACTAATTCACAAGATAATGGAAAAGAAATACTAAAATGAATTACTATAATGAAATATGCTTAACACCAATAGACGATTGAAGACACTACAATAAAAATAGGAATAACAGAAATGCATACAAGTCATGTTGCAGTGACTAGATTACATGTAGAGAGACAGAAAGAAAATTAAAGAAAGAAGAGATGACACCTAAGTAATGGCCACTCAAAAGTATTAGAGAGCTTCTGGCCTCTCTCCCAAATGCCCAAGTCCAGGCCCAAATTTCCAGATCCCCCAAAATGATGTCTTTCTTGCTATTTGATACCAGCCTTCGTCAGATGCTCCACATGTGTGACTCTAACCAACAGATTCCCTCCTAACTAACCTTTGTTGAGTCAGCATATACAATTAAGAGCAGTGATCCCCTACATCCCCTCTTTCATAAGCACTCACAAATGTATCAATGATATTAAGATTCTATTGCAAGATATGGAACTTGGAGTCCCACAACGGAAACATAAGGTTCTAGACTTTTAGTGTGGGGTTTATATGGATTTTGAGCTCTCCTACTTTACGATCTAGCTTTTGGGGTGAGATTCTCCCAAGATTCGTATTAATTGGTATTATGTCTCCCAGTTGCAATCGAGTGGTGTGACTGGTGACGTTGACATTGTAGTGTTCGCTTAGGGTTAGTAAAAAGAATAGTGCAAAGCCAGGCCGGGTGGCGAAGGCTGTGGAGTGTGGTGGGAAGTTAAGATCCTATTGCAAGGTACGAGACTTGGAGACCCACAACGGAAACATAAGGTTCTGGTGTGTGGTTTATATGGACTTTGGGCTCTCCTACCTTAGGAGCTAGCTTTTGCGGTGAGGTTCTCCCAAGTTTCATATCATATACTAAATAAACTAATTAATGTTTTGAAATATGAATGTGAAAGAGGATACACTATATTTTATATGCTAGTAAATATCGTTCTTTCGTGATTTTTATGATCCTCACTTTTATGGGCTCCATCATCTACTTTTTTTTATCTACCGTCTCACTTCTTCCTGTTAGGGATTTTATATATTTTAAATAAAATTGATTTTGCAATTTAGTCCTCCCATGTCTTTTTAACTTTTCATTTGAGTTTCACTTGCCTAATGGTTGGCATCTAGTGCATTGTAATGATCTTGAAAAATTCATGTTTATCTGTCTTCATATGAATTTCTTTGAAATTTTGGGGTTCCCTATATTTGCACTATTACTGGATGGATACTGATGAGACCTTGGGATGCACCACCCCAAAAGCTAACTTAAAGTGTGGGAGTGCCCAAGGCCTTATAAACCCCACATTAGTTGTCCATACAACCAATGTGGGACTCCAAGTCCCATACCTTGCAAATGGAACCCCAATAGATACTTAAATGCATACCCCGTTTCTAATGTTCAATGTACAGGAATGGACTAATGATGGATCTGGTGACTGTTCTTTTCCTGGTGGCATATATCCTAATTGGCTAACCTTCAAAGGAGAAGGATCCTCAGTATTGTTTAAAGTGCCTAATACTGGTTGCAAGTTGAAAGGGGTGACTCTACGCATCATTTATTCATCTTCCCTTGACAACATGGCTTCTGAATGTGATCTTCTTAGTATCTTGATAATAAATTACACAAAGAATACCATTCAGCCCTACAAGCGAGACACAACAACTTCCTTCAAACATGAAGATTGGCAAGGATTGGTTTCAAATCTTGAACCCGGGGATGAAGTGGAGGTTGTTATAGTTTTTGGACATCGATTTACTGTGAAGAAGACAATAGCCCATCTAATATATGATGAATCAACCAACAAGGATCAAATCTAAGAGATGCTGCGAAATCTTGTGAATTAACCAGGTAACAATTCTTTGACACACATGTATCTTAGTTAACCATGAAATCTTCCAGGTTCCATTTCTACAATTTTCTGCACATACATATGTTGTTAGATGTGATAAATTTTGCAAAATTATTACTATTTTGTTTAACATCTGGTTCATGTCCAATTTTTAGATGGAGGAAAGAAATTATCTAGACCTAAAAAATAGAAAATGGGGTTTTGGGAAAGCTGCCCTAATATAGGTGTGACACTACCGGATTAAACCGGTTTGGATGCCAAAAAAGAAATGGACATGTGAAATGAAATTTGTTGAAATGGATTTAGGTAGAGAGGGAACAAAAGGGAGAATAGAGACCGAATAATATGAAATTAGTATTGATTTGATGTATTATGACGTGACAGAAGCTACAAAGCATTAAACCTTATTTATATTAATTTTAGACTCCAAATATTAATTAAATACACTAAATATAAAGAAATAAGAAAAATAATCCTAAAATATCATATAAAATACTCTAAAAATATTATAAGGGTCCCTTTGGTTTGTTAAAGAAATTAGGGACTAGAAAAAATTGTAACATTTTGATTGTTCAAATAGTACAATAGACAAAAAGCAACTCAATCGACAATATAAGGTCTGTTTCGCTGTGGTGTAGCTTTTTTTATTCTTAAAAATAGTTATGGAAACAGATATTTTTGTGTTTTTTTTTTTGTTTTAAAAATTAAAAGTTAAAACACAAAATAAAAATAATTCAGACATATTTTTTAAAGAGTAAACACCCTTTTTGGTCTCTGGCAATATCTACGAAATTTTTTTTAGTCCCTGGCAATAAAAAAGGACCAAATTTTTTTTAGTCCCTGGCAATAAAAAAATTAGTCCTTATGTCAACTCCTCCGTCACTAACGTGGCCTTTTTTGCATACTGTCAGGGACCAATTTGGTCCTATTTTATTGCCAGGGACTAAAAAAATTTTCGTAGATATTGCCAGGGACCAAAAAAGGTGTTTACTCTTTTTTAAATTTGATTCTAAAAATAAAAAAACAGTTATAATTTTTTAATTTTTTTTTTTGCAAAACATGTCTTATCTAATAGATTTTTTGTTTTTTTGTTTTGAAAACCAATTTTTTTTTTTAGAAACAGTATTTAAACATCGTCTTAATCTCTAAATTCTTATTATCCATTGAACCAAGTTACAATTTTTATTTTTATTTTTGGAATTAATCCAACCCTAATTATCTTTTTGAGGCGAGTTGGCTTCCCTCAGTATGCTCACAAGCTTCAACTCTTTGAGCTGGTTATGAGACTAATCTAGAGTGCGGGACAAGTCAAGGATGAAGATATTTAAACCCCTCTTAAAGGTGTTATGTGGAAATCGAATCGAGACTCTTTTCTTTTCACTTACTCAGCTCCCTTGCTACTAACTAAGATACTAAGCTACCATTATTTGGTTCAAGTTACAATATTTTATTCATAGAAAAAATAGAAATAGTCCAATAACCCTTGCTCCTTTATTATTTCAAATGCATAACACAAAGGGTATTATAATAAAGGGTTTTATGTTTATCATGTAACATAACACAACTTCACTTTCCTACACACACAGTAAAGAGGTGGGGTCCACATGTTTTTCTTTTTCTTTCATCATTCCACTTTTTCTCTCCCTTTTGTTGTGTGTGTTGGAAACAAAACTTAAGTTATGTAACATAATATTAATAAAACCCTATAATAAATTTTACTTTATTTTGTCCATGGATATCACTAGGGTTGGCAAAAATGATCCAATCCGTCGGGTTGGCTCGTAACCCGCGAAAAACGAGTCGGGTTGGGTTGGCAAAAATGAACTGCCAACCCGAGCTAACCTGACCCGAGGTAGCTCGAGAAAAAACGAGCCAACCCGCGGGTCAAACGGGCCAGCTCGCGGGTTGAGTTTTTTTTTTTTTTTATTATAAAAAAATACAAAATATAATATACAAAAATGGACAAAACCCACACATGATGTCACCATCTTTCTTCCTTCTTTAAACCTAAGTCCATAATCTTCTCACATCCCTCCCATTTTTATATTGTTAGGCTGTGCTGGCTCTGTTTGGTTCAAATATCTTACCCACTTGGTAGCAAGTGGTTCTGATTGTTTCTTGCTGTTGGTGAAATTTGTTGTGAAGAAAATTCGAAACTAGAATATTTTGCTTTTATTTATCATTTTGTAACCCTTTGTTTAAACTGATGGAAGCCACATAGTTCGTGCATTAGTACTACAAGTTCATTTAAATAGGCCGAAAACGAGCCAACCCGCGAGCCAACTTGCAAGCTATTTTTTCAAGCCAACCCACGAGCTATATTTTTGAGTCAACCCGTGAGCCAACACTAACTTGACTCCGGTTGGGTTGGGTTGAGTTTTCTGGCTCATTTTTTTTTTCTAGCCAACCCTAACCCGATTGGTTTTGTTCGAGTTGCATGCGGGTTAGGCCGGATTGACCCGTTTTGCCAACCTTTGATATCACAATTTTTAGTCCTATACATTGTTTATTAAATAAAAAAATTGTCGTAAACTCAACCAGTTGAGGTGTACAGTTCTGTTTTTGCAATTCCTCAATATGCATCAAATGCTAGTTAAGATACAATCATGATATTAGAGATATTTTTCATATATTCTAAACTCTTCCTAAAGTCAAAACTCATTAAGCCTTAAGATTGTTACACACACATATATATATATATATATAGATGATCATTTGATACCAATGTCAAACAAAAAGTTTGACACCTTATCTAAGAGTCGATGATCTTATCTTGATCTAACGATTTTGATTTGTAAGCATATGACACTGTTAATCAGCCTTGATTTAATAGCCTTCAGATGAGGTGTTAAATTTTTTGTTTGATACCGATACCAAAGGATCCTACTATATATATATATATATATATATATATATATATATATATATATATATATATATTACCTACCTTTTTTTCATGCTTATCTTGCTTGCCACTCTCCAACACCATTGGATCAGAATCTCAACTAACCTTTATCATTTTTCTCTCCTCTTGATATTCTAATCTAACAATGTTGGTGAGTGGTACAGTAAGTAAATTAACCTATCTCATATAGATTCATTATAATAACATGAGAATAGATTCAATTGCTACAAAAATAGTTTGGTCGGTGTTTTTTGGTTTCAAAGGGTTGCTTTTGTTTTCCTTTTTTGTTTCATATGTCTATAGTGATACTGATTATAGAATCTGCATCTGGGTTGGATATTGGACAAGAACTCTTTAAACGAAGTTTGTTTTTAAAGTAAGTTGGTAAATATATATCCACCATTCATTTAATTTAAAATGAATCTTGATCTTAACTTACTAAAACTTAAAAGTGAATATACTTTTAATTGCTGATTTTAAAAGATAATCTTACTTTTGAGAGCTGTTTCCTTTTTTTTTTTTTTGGTAGCTTTGTTTCTTATGCTACCCACGCCAGACTCAATTACCTACACTGATACAATTAAAGAAGAAGCCAGTCAAAGGCGTGTAATTCAAGCTAAAAAAGCAATACAATTTAATGATAACTGAAAAGTTAACTCTCTTAGTGGAAAGGCTGATTTTTGTCTCTACAACTTCACTAGCCACGAAGGTAAGAAGTTGTAGTACATCATTCTTTATCTTGAGACTGAATGATTGAGTCAAATGAATTATGATCATGGATTAGATGATGGCTTCCTTTTACCCATTCTGATAATCATTTTTCAACACAATTTGGGTACTATTTATTAAAATTATTTATAGATATCTGTCGAACTGCGAAGATTTTACTATGAATTTTATATACATTAAGGGTTTTATTAATGTTATCTTATATAATTTAAGTTTTGTTTCCAACACACACAATAAAAGGAAGAGAGAAAGTGAAATGATGAAAGAGAAAGAAAAACATGTGGATCCCACCTCTTTAATGTATGTGTAGGAAAGTGAAGTTGTGTTATGTTACTTGATAAACATAAAACCCATACATTAATAGATATTTGATAGGTGTATTAACATTTCATGAATAGAATCAATAGCCTATAGCATTTATATTAGTACTATTGCAATGATGACCCTGCGAAGACAATGAGCATTCATATACATTACATAGCTACCTAATTAATACCGGCATCATGAAAATTTATCACTGTAATCCATTAATGATCATCATTAAATACACTCAAGGAGACAAATTTTCCCATGGGTATAGTAATGCATCATGCTATCTGCTGCTCCTACATTAATATGTATTTTCTATAGTACAAACCTCCATAAATAATAATACGAGTCTCCTCTACAATTGACAAAGTAGGCGTAAAGATAGCTTCTCTTGCATGGCTTGGCGGGTCGTCCAAACAGCTTGTTTTCCCATGTAATATTTTTGGTTTTTAAAAAAATTAAAAGGACATGATTATATTTACATGCACGGGATAGACACTGGTTTCTTTTTTAACTATCCTTTCAGGGTAATTCAGGTTTTGGAGTATCCCGCGGCGGATCCAGAAAAATAATGAGGGTGGACACTCAATAAGATCTGATCTTGAACGCGATTTACGAGTAGCTGCCAGCTGCCTGGGTCTGATTTAGATCTAGATCTAGATTAGGTTTGATAATGAAGGTGGAGGAGAAAAAAAAACTCACAGGAAAATAAATTAGAAAGAGGGAAATTAAAGGTGTAGGATATTGTAACAACCAGTGTTATTACCAATTAATTTCACCGTTAGATCAATTATGCTGATCCAACGGTTATATTTAATTTCATCTTTCTATGGTTATGATTCCTCATATTTAATACTTTATATTTATTTTCACCTTTGTATGGTTATGATTTCTTAATATTTTATATTTATTTTCACCTTTGTATGGTTATGATTTCCTATATTTAATGTTTTTACATTAAATATGGGGAATCATAACCATACAAAGATGAAAATAAATATAATCATTGGATCAGCATAATCGATCTAATGGTGAAATTGATTGGTATTAACATTGATAGTAACCTTAATTGGTTGTTATAATATCTTACCCCAAAATTAAATTGAAAAAACTTGAATTTTAAGAAAAAAATATTTTTATATTTTTACATCATATTTAAGGGTGGTCACTTGCCCCTTTCTCCACTAACTGGATCCGCCTCTGCCCATGATCTGAGTAGAAAATTGGGCCCATTTATATACGAGTCTAAACTTTAGTTGTATGAAGTGACGGCTATTTGACCATTTTATCCTTAATTAAATAAAAAATAATCACTTTGCCCCCGTTCCGAAACTATATACAAATCTATCATTGTTTAATCGATTACATGTATATTTAATCGATTAAGTTTCAAAAATTTATTTTAATCGATTACTTAATCGATTAAGTGTTGAACATTCATTCTCTTCCTGTTGCTTATCGCACCAAAGTACATCTTCCTCTTCACTCAAGTATTCATTTCACATATCCACCGGCAGTACATCTTCAAGGCCGAGTTACGACGCCGAAGCTCATCTTTATCATTAGACATACAATGTTTATAATAACATCCATAACCATTTTATTATCTAAATATTGGTTTTGATTGTGTTTTGTTGTATTATGGCATCATTAATACTTCTGAAATGTTGAATGAACATCCAATTTTTCCTCCATTCAAGAATATTCTTGGCATAGCAATTCTTGCTTGCTGACACACACTTAGGGCTCGTTTGGATGAGCTTTTTTTTTTCTTCAAAAGCTGCTTTTTTTCAAGAAAAAAAACACTTTTCGTTTTTAGTTCATTTGGATTAGGGATGGCAAAAATGAGCCAACCCGCACAAAACGAGCCGGGTTGGGTTGGCAAAAATGAGCTGCCAGCTCGATTTAGCCTGACCCGAGCCAACCCGAGCTCAAACGAGCCAGCTCGCGGGTTGAACGAGCCAGCTCGCGGGTTACTCTTTTTTTTTTTTAATACAATGGACTTTACTGATGGATTCTCCACTGATGGACTTCTTTTATTTTTTATTTTTTGGCTTTACATACGTTTTATGGTTATCGTGAGTTAGAGTAATTCAAAAAATCATGATAAATGACTCTTGTGATTCGTGGAGTGGTTTGTGTTTTATTTAATGTTTTTGGATTTTGTAAATTACTCTACTTGTAGTTGGACTGCAAAATACAATAATTTTATACAGGAAAACAAACCACAAAAATTAAATTTTTTGAGCCAACCCGCTAGCCAATATTTTGAGCTAACCAACCCGCGAGCCAACCCACTAACATCATTTCTAGCTAACTCGCGAGCTTTTTTTGAGCCAACCCGTGAGCTTTTTTACGAGCCAACCCGCGAGCTGATTATCGAGCCAACCCGCGAGCCAACCCTAACCCGGCTCGGGTCGAGCCGGGTTGGATTTTCTGGCTCGTTTTTTTTTCGAGCCAACCCGACCCGACCCATTTTTTTCGGGCTGAATGCGGGTTGGGCCGGGTCAAGCCGGGTTGGCCCGTTTTGCCAACCCTAATTTGGATGTCTGCTTTTAAAAAAAGGAGAAGTCACAAAAAAGTCAAAAACCTACTTTTTTCAGAAGTTAGAAATTTTAACTTCTCAGAAAAGCAGAAGTCAAAAGTCAAATATTTTTTTCAAAAATTAAATATTTTTATAAAAATATAAATAGCTTTAACTTTTATAAAAAAGTACTTTTAAAATAAGGAAGTGATAAAAGTTACTTTTGAAAAAAGCTTAACCAAACGACCACTTAATATACAATATTTTCGGTTCACCTTTTTTTGCAAAAGACCATCAGAAAAGCCATGTAAATGAATCAACAGAACCATTAATTCAGAATAAAAAGATATTGAGTTTTTAAGAGAGAGAAAGAATGAAAGATATATTTACCTGAGGTTGATGAAGCACAGTGCGAGACGAGGATGAAGAAAAAGGAGAATGCAAGAGAAGCCATGCTCTGTTTCGAAGAGAAGTCGAGAATGCAAAACAGAGTAAGAAAAAGTTGCAATTAATCGATTATTTAATCGATTAAAATAAATTTTTGATGCTTAATCGATTATATATATATATATATATATATATATATATCATATAATCGATTAAATAGGGATAGATGTGTATATAGTTTTGGGACAGGGTTAAAATGATTATTTTTTATTTAATTAAGAACAAAAAGATAAAAAAGCCATGAAGTGACACTGTCCCATGTTTTTAGATGAATAAATGTGTCATGATCGAATTGCTAATGCAGTGTGCTATTAATTTTGCAGTACCTATTATGTAGTTAGTTAAAGCCTGAATTAGTTATTAAAATCACAAGCAAGACTTAACACGTGTGCAATACGATATTAGACTATTATGTAATTAAAGAATTCTGCACTCGACCACAACTACAATGTCATTATTAATTAAGTATTTCAAATTCAAAATTTATCAATTACAATTTATTAAGTAGTTTTTTTTTTCTGTTCACATATACTAGGTGTTTTGTTCATGTTGTAAGTTAATTTTATCTTTTCAATATTGTTGGATTAGTAAAAAGATTCTCCATTCACCAAAAAACTAAAAAAATAAAAAATCTCCACAAGGCTGAGTAAATTTTGTTAGACACAATTAATAATATCGTTAAAAACATAAAGTGAAAGTATTGACAAAAAAATTATTAAATAAAGTAATAATATGTAACAAAATGTTATGTCATAAAAATGAATAAATTTCATGTACCCAAAAAAGAAGAAGAATAAATTTGTAACATTGTATTTATCTATATTTAAGATGTTTTATTAAAAATATATTCCATATATTCAACTAATCTAAAATAGTAATTAAATATGACAATCTTCTTATACAAAATTAAAATATCAAATAACTCTATGCTACTCAAGAAATTTCAACTTTGCCGTTCTTGATGAAAGTGCGGGGTCATGTGGTTAGTGGTCCAATGGAACAAAAGTGGCGGGGCAACTCATATTTATCATAAAATTAGAGCGACCATTATAATATGTTTTTTTTTTTAATTTCAATTTGTGATAAAAATGATGGGAAAAATAAAAATATTCTAATTTCTCTTATTTTTCTAGTTTCCTTATAGCTTGTGCGGGGAGGGAAGAGGAAGAAGGGAAACGGGTATGCTATGGAGATTTTCAATTATAAAAGTGATAGAATTAAGAGTAATATTTTTCTACACTCACATATAATTGTGGGGTCCACCAAGAGAAAGAAAAAAATAAAATAGTAGCTCAATTATCAATGTGACTATGTGAGTGTAGAAAAATATCTCTCTTATGTAACTTGAGAGAAATATTACCCTAAAATTAAAGTATAAATATGTAGAAAAATAAGGTGAAACTAAGTGCAACTTTGTGTAGCATATTTTATCCTAATTGTACGTTCCTAAGTTCTCGCCATTACAGTATTTACCGATGATATAATAATCACATAATTTAGACATGTAGTCTAACACTTTGTTTAAATTGAAATTAATAAAATGACTGGGGGTCCAACACAACGACAAAATTTGCTTTGTACAACAACTTTTCAATCGTTACTAAACATCCTAATGCTATAGAGTAAAAGCTTCTTCTTTTCTAAGGTCATGCTTATATTTGTGCACATAAATTTAAGTTCTTTCTTGATTCTTGTGGCGAAGCATGCTATGTGGCATTCTCCATTAATAGTTTTTGAATTGTTAGCTAGATGAAAAAGCCACGAATGTAACCACGGGTGTAATAATCGCTATAGGGGTGCCGTTGACACTTGACAATAATGGTATGGAATAAGGCTATGTAGGGGAGTCCCAGATGCACTGAACAACATGAGAGGTTGTTAATGGCTACAATAGCTCTTCGAGTTGGCAGAGTAATAGCTCATGAAAGTAGTGATATTATGTGTGTTCATAGTGATGGAAGAGGGGGTATTTATAAATAGGTTGAGCTCTCTTCAAGTGGGAGTGGAAGCAAAGTCAATTGTTACAGGGATTGCTATTGTAGTTATGCCCACTCGAGTTTCTACGTAAAAATAGAAAGATGTGGTAGAAATGTAAAACGTAGAAACGACACGAAACGTAAAGTTTTTACTTTCTACCGCTTAAGGTCAAGATACAAAATTATATATATACAAGTAAAAAAAATATCACATAATGAACATGTGTGTTGAGCCACTTATTTATTTAAAAAGAAAAATTATTTTTTATAACCAACTATCAAAATTATAAACAGTGATAATTAACAAGTAATGGATAATCAATCTGCTCTAATTGTTTTATACACTCTGCAAATTTTGGATCGTCGCTCATCAGGATATAATTTCACTTCTTTCAATGCACACAATGATCCAAAAACACAAAACGATGCTATAACTTATAATAGAATTGCAGCTTTGTAAGACATAATTATAAAAAACATATATCCAAACAAAAAGATATTAAGATACTATGAATATGATTTGGGGAAAATGAAAATTAGGTTTTTTTTTTAATATTTTTTGTAAATCTTTTTTTATTAAACTTTTAGTTTTAAGTAAAAACGGTCAAAACGGTAAAAACGTAAAATTTTTACCGTTTTTACATTTTTACGCGGCGTTTCTACCAGTTTTATCAAGGACCGTTTTTACTTGAGTTTTAACACGGACCACTCTAGTAAAAACGTAAAAACGTAAGTTTTTATGTTTTTACACTAATTTTTGATAACATAGTTATGCCTTGCTGAACAAGGCATCTTATAGCCGCTGTTAGTGATACGGCTACAGCTGTGCAGGGAAGGAAGGATGGGAAACACCCTTCATGTGAGACATTTTGGTGTCCTATGTTAGGAAATCTTGATAGGTAGCACTCGATGGCAATACAATAGTGCTCATATGGCACAAGATATGATAGAGTTGGTATATCAGGGGCAGTATGAGCCTCTTGGTACTGGACCAGGGTTATTAGGCTAGTCAATTGAGCCGTCGAGAACAATTTTTAACTTAGACAAATGATTATACCGTTCACCAAGCCATGAATACATAAAAAGCATCTAATATTGAACATACCATATGGAAACACATGTTATGCACGGTAACAGGTTGTTCGGAGTAGGGTTGGCAAAAACGAGCCAACCCGTCGGGTTGGGTTGACTTAAATGAGCTGCCAACTCGATCCAACCCGACCCGATCCAACCCTAACTTAAACGAGCCAGCTCGTGGGTTAAATGGGCCAGCTCGCGGGTTGTTTTTTTTTTAATTAAAAATAATAATATCAAAATTACAAAAATGCCCTACGCTAAGCATCATCGTTCCCTTTCTTTCTCGTTTTTTTTTTGTCCAACCCTAATGAGCTAATCTGCCCCCTTTAGCATTTCATCGTCAGTTCTTAGTCGCTCCTTTGCCCAACTGAACCCATTTCACTCCAGTCCACAAGCCTTGATAGGGAGTCGAGGGTTTCGATTGCCTTGAGAGGGACAGGTGAAATTGCAGCATCCCTGCTCTTGACAGGGTTTCGATTGTCTCTGGCATACTTCTCGATAACCACCACGGTCTCGTCGGTTACTGTCGGTTACCGTTTCATAGCGATTTCCACCACCACCTCCTCCGTTGCAGTCGGTTTCCTCCAATTTCTTCTTCGACTTGTGATGTTGCTGCTTCTCTGACTTGGTACCGTTTTGAAGGCCAGTTCGTTGAGCTTTCTTTTGGGGCTGGTTTCATTTTGATGATTGTAATTGTTTCTTCTTGTATGTGCATTTTTGGTTTTTGTTGTTGTGGAGTTCGTTTGCTTGAACTAATTAATGTTATCTTTTCAATTGGAAGCTTGGCGTTTAATAACATTATATCTTTTTTTGGAAGTTAATGGTAGAATTTGCTTATTTTTTGCCCTAGTCGTGAGAAACATGTTTCCGTTTTATATGCGAAAATGGCCGAAAAAAATGTTATATTCGTTTCTGCTGCAGTAACAACTTTTAGCCTTGGTATATTATGAAATATATAAAATTACAGGATACTCTTATTTTTAGCCTTGGTATATTATGAAATATATAAAAATGTTATATTCGGTTTCTGTTTGTGGTATTTTTTGGTAGTGTTGATAATTTTGTGCAATGTTGGAGAACAAATAAGACTAGTTCCACAAAATCAATTTTTTTGAGCCAACCTGCGGGTCAATAATTCGAACTAACCAACTCCCGAGTCAACCCACTGACATCATTTCAAGCCAACCCACGAGCTTTTTTTGAGCCAATTCACGAGCTTTTTTCTGAGCTAACCCGCAAGCTGATTATCGAGCCAACCCTAACCCGACTCGAGTCGGATTGGGTTGGATTTTCTGGCTCGTTTATTTTTTCGGGTCAATCCTAACCCGACTTGTTTTTTACGAGTTGGGCCGGGTCGAGCCGGGTTGGTCTGTTTTGCCAACCCTAGTTCAGAGTAGAAAATAAATCCTACTAGAAAACAGAACATAACGATTACAAAATGCACAATACTCTCCTCAATTAGGTATTTAATTAGGTACATAGTTCGAAAAGTAACCTTTTTTTTCCCACCAAAGCAAGTTCATAAATACAGGGGGGGGGGGGGTCATGAAAACTAATAAATACACGCAAAGAGTATAATATATAAGCAATATTGTTTTGCAAAACGTGCTAAACTATCACAACTTGATTAATGTATCTGACAATCACACGATTTGGCTGAAGTTGAATATATTTTACACTACAAAACAAATTTTCCCTAGTCCCGACAAAAAAACTAAACTACCAAATACAATGTACCACAGAGAAAATGCAAAATCTAAACATAACCAAGTGTACTGAATCTATCTGTAAGAAAGATATTCATCTATTTTTTTTAGTAAACTCAACGTATTTTATAATCGTAACCAAAGATTAATCTTTGTCGAGCACTATTAAATCCTTTTGTGGGCAACTCTTCTAAATTTTTTATTTTTTTATTTTTTTATTTTTAAGGTTCGAACTCAAAATCTCTTATTAAAGGACCTATACTCCTTATCATCTATACCAATCATCCAATTTTTAGTCTCCTTGTGGATGATATTGAGACAACATGAATGAAATCAATAACATAACAAACCAAAAAAAATAAAATAATAATAATAATAATAACAACAAAATGAAAATATAAAAAGAAAAATATATATTGAAGAAGATCCAGATGAGTTATCTGGATTATGAACGTTCCATAGACCCAATTCTTCTACTATGATGCATGCCAGTATTGAACCCCAAACACCCCAACAAGCCCTGTTTGTAAGGCAACAAGGTCTTTTTCTTCAACTCCTCAGAAGCAGCCCGGTTCAGTGTGTAATGCAATTCATGAGCCGAAACCGGTCCTCTCCGTCTTGACACTGAACCGGAACTCTCCGTGGACCGGAAACTGGAGTTTCTGACATCCTCGTGCGCTGTTGTTTTGGACAGTACCATGTACTTCCTCAAAGGATCTTTGTCGGTGGCTCTTCCCTCTGAGGCACTCCGGAACAGTAGAAAATCTTTTAGCTTCCATTTTCGATACCCTTTTGTGAACGAAATCGATGACAGGAACGAGAAAGTGCTTGAAGAAAAACCTTTATTATTATTATTATTATTACCCTTTTGTGAAACATCATCGGAATCACACACACTACTTCTGTTTCTGTCGCTGTCAGATACCCTCGAAGGTGACAAAGATCTTCTTCTACTTCCTTTGCGACCAGAAGATATTGAAGATGGTGATGTTGTTGTTGTTGAGGGTGCACCTTCTTCTACCCTTTTACGTGTTGTTTCTCTAAATTGTTCATTGTGAATGAGTCTCTTCTCTCTTTTAGTAGATGATGTTTTGTTTGTGGTTGGAGGGAGCTTCAAAGGCCGAATCTTTCCACCATGGAAGAGCTCATCAGCAGAGAGAGAAGGTCTTTCGAGGTGGCCACTGAAATTGAATTCGAAATCTTCATTGACATCATTGTTGTTGTTAGGTTCAGAAGCAGAGGAGTGGCGGGTATGCAAGTCGTCGTTGTTGTTGTTGATATGGTTGTGGAAGAAAGAGGAAACACCACGTGTGGGACTTGTAGGAGCACTGAAGAAGAAGTTCCCAAAGGGTTGTGGGCTTGAAGGTGCTGTGATGTAAGGAGAGGAACAGTTGCTATCGAAGTTGAAGTCCATTGAAGGAAGAGGAGGAGGAGGTGGAGGCACTGCCATCACCACTTCCATCTCCATGTTTTTTTTTGTTTTATCAATAAGTGGTTGTGTCTGATTGTAGTTACCAATTCCAATTGTACTTTGTGGCTATGACCTTATTATATATACAGAAAAAAGTGAGACAGAGACAGAGGAAAGAGGAGGTAGTTGGGGGAAGATTTGACTATAGTTAAAGGTTTTGGTGGCTTGAACCCACCTTTTATTAGAGTTTTGTTGTTTGTAATACATTGAAATGGTTATGTAAGAGCTTTAGATTCAAATGGTTGTTTATATGAGATTAAGAAGGGAATTGATTTTCTCATTGAGAAAATTTTCTCATGTTACACACACAATACATGAGTGGGGTCCACAAAAAGGTGATAAGATAAAAAAGTCAAGATGGGACCCATTCATGTATTGTGAATGTAGCATGAGAAAATTTTCTCATGTAAAATGAGAAAACTATTTCCCTATTAAGAATTGAAGCACGAGTTTGATTTTCATTATCTATATTTTTTAATTTAAGTAAGTATAAGATAAACAAAAAATGAATCTGTATAACCCCCAATTAGCTTAATTGGCAGTTGAGCTTCCAATGATTTGCTTGGGTCGTGGGTTTAAATTCTGTCTCAAGTAAATTTTTTAAAAATTTTTGAGGGCCAGAGGACGTACTCCGATGAGGGGTAGCCTTCGGGCTGTACTCCGATGACAAGGTGACCTGAGGAGGTTGAATGGGGATACAATGAATCTATATAATATTCACGCTTCAAGTTCAAAAAACTCTATTTTTGGGGGCGGGAGGACGTACTCCGATGAGGGGTAGCCTTCGGGCTGTACTCCGAGGACAAGGTGACCGGAGAAGATTGAATGAGGATACAATGAATCTATATAATATTCACGCTTCAAGTCCAAAAAACTCTTTATGTGAGAGAAAATATCAAAAAATATAAAATCATTAATATAATCTCAAATAAATCTTAAATTTTTGGGTTAAATTAATTATTTACAATCTTGCTTAAATTTTTCTTCTTTGAGAAAATAAAAAAATTGGAAAATATTTGCAACATGTACCTGATTGCCATTCCAAAATTATTTATTGGTTTTCATAAACTAATTGTTAAAGGGTCTGCTAGTTGATGTGCCATTGCTTCTCCTAATTTTGATTTTGTAGTGTACATTGTTATACGGTAGCTTTCAATTATATAATATCAAGCATTTAAAACAAATCTGACTATCATAATAAGTATTAAAATATTGATGATGTTTCAATACAATTTGTTATGATAATGTTACAAAATTTATGATTGATGAAATTTACTCATTTTTTTATTTGGGAATAGAAGGGGAGGCAAAGGAGAATTCTAAGCAATTTTCTTTTCTTATTCTGGTGAAGGATAAATTTGGATATGGCGTGAACACATACATGTTATTACTTCAGCAATTGGATAGGTTTAAATTGTTTTGGTCAAGATAGAAAATAGTATTCCAGAAGGAAACAAGGAGAATTATTATTATTTTATTAAACAGGATATAATCAATTGATGTTAGGTTAAATGAGGAAAAAGAGTGGAAGTGGATCTAGAAGATGCGAAAAAGTGAAGAGAAGCAATCAAAAGAGAAGAATTTTTTTTTTCCTTGTTTGGTTAGGGAAAGAAAGAAAATGAAATTGATAAAATTATTTATGTATCTTTAAACTAAAAAAATATAAATCTAATGGAGATAACCATAAATCATAAATGAATTAATGATTAAAATGCGTCCATTTTACAAGTCCAACCAAATCTGTTCAATCAAACAAGAGAAGTTGATCTCTTACTTCTCCTTTTTAGATACTTACTGTGTTCATTCAAATTTAAAGAAAATGACCGTTGAAATAAAAGAGAAGTATCATGTAAAGAGGAGAAAATAAAGATGTTAGAGAAAGACAAAGGAAATGCTTTTGCTTGTCTCTTTGTTGATATTAAGCATGGTTTTAGATAATGTGGTTTTTCAAGTTTTAAGAAAATTACCGTTGAAATTAAAGAGAAGGCGCTGACAAAAGAAGAAAATAAAAATGTAGGAGAAAGACAATACAAATGCTTTTGCTTCTTTCTTTGTTCATATCATAACAATAGGTTACCGTTCTGTCTATTCCAATTTTCTTTCCGCATTTGTGTTTATACACACACACACACACTTTGCACTTAAGTAATTGTATTTGGGAAATGGTTTTCATCTTCTACTATTGATGGGGTGGGGGGTTGAGGTAGAGGAATACAATTTTGTTGAACAATCCAATATTTCCACCCTTATAAGAGAAAATTAGACTTTTGTTCATCGTCACTGGTTGTTTATGAGAAATTAAGTTGTAATTTTTGACGTAGTGCAAAAGCACATTGTCACGTATTGTACTGAATATAGTACACTTGAACACTTGAATTAGATGATAGAATTAAAAGGGTATTTGAGCCATTTTCCCTTTTCATTAATTAAAAATTATCATTTTGCCTCCGTTTATAAATTTTTTAAAATATTTGATCTTTTCCTTAAACATAATAACATTTGTCCTTGTTAAACCGTTGACCAAAAATTATACTCGAGTGCAGGACAATATATAATCCTACTTGAAGGTGTTTATTATTTCTTGAATTATTTACCCGAGTATGTACCCTTCTACCTAAGTATAACGATGAATACTCGAGTATCGATCCACCCCAAATACTTGAGTATATGTCGGCCAGAAACCCTTAAATGAGTGGGTTTCGGCCTCATTTGTCACTCACCCGTTTTCTACCCCCAAATCTCCTTTGTTTCTCATCTCTACTCCAAGCCATCAAGTTTGTATTCCATCCCATAGTCTCCAAAGCTTGTATCTTGTGAAAGCATTGTCGTCATTACACTTACAAATTCAATTTTTTGTTTTAAAAAATTCTGAAATCCAAACCAAACCCTAGACCAAATTTCATGTTGAAAGATGAGCTCAAGTTCAAACACTTATTGATGAGGACATAGGAGGTGGCATGACCAAGACAACAAACTTGGAGGACATACAAGGTCTTGGAGGCCCAATGACAAGAGCAAAAGCTAAAAAAGCTAAAGAGGCTCTAAATCTCTTGGTGACCACTTTACTTGAGACAAGCCCAAGTCTAAAGGAAGAAGAGCCCAAAATGATACACTTAATTAAAATTGAAGACCTTGAAGAATAAGCCTCAATGGATATGCATGAAGGCTTTATTTTACTTGGCCCAAATTCTGCACTTAATTTTTTATTTTCTTATATTTAGTTAAACTTTTTGTAATAAGGCTTATTGGGTTGTCTATCTTCTTTTATGTGTAAGTACTTTTAGGTTAAACTCAATATGGTTGTTGCCCACTATATAAGGGAACACTATGGCTTTTGAAGACAGATTTGGAATATCAAGTTAACCTATTTTGGTGAGACTAGTTCTCTTGGGTTCTTTTGAGAATCTCTGAACTTATCAAGGGCATCAATCCTTGTGGCGTTCTTGGGCTTATCAATTCCTTCGAATTGTGGCGCCTACCTATAATCCTTAAACTCCAATTTCGTTCTATATTATCTTGGATTCATATCTCTCGAATTCCTTATCCTTTTCCGGTGATTCTTGTGCCAAAATCGTGATTCAGGAAGCCATCTTTCACCTCGTTTTGGAATCACCCAAATTCGAGGTCTGTAGCATGAGATACGCTCTGTTCTTAACAGGTCGTGTTGGTGGATGAATTTGGGGTTAGAATTCCATTCCTAGTAGATCCATTCCTCCATTCCTATTGGGGATCACATCATGTGGTATCAGAGCTCAGTTCTAGGATTGGAATTGGGTTTGATTTTTCTCCATTGTTTCCATCAATTCTGATCACACATTTGGTAACCCTAATCCCTAGTATTTGTGTTTTTAATTTTGAATTGTGCAATTCTGTTTTAGCCTTTGTTGTCTTGGTCATGCCACCTCCTATGTCCTCATCATTAGAGCAAAAGCTAAAAAGGCTAAAGAGGCTCTAAATCTCTTGGTGACCACTTTACTTGAGACAAGCCCAAGTCTAAAGGAAGAAGAGCCCAAAATGATACACTTAATTAAAATTGAAGACCTTGAAGAATAAGCCTCAATGGATATGCATGAAGGCTTTATTTTACTTGGCCCAAATTCTGCACTTAATTTTTTATTTTCTTATATTTAGTTAAACTTTTTGTAATAAGGCTTATTGGGCTGGATTATTGGGCTGTCTATCTTCTTTTATGTGGAAGTACTTTTAGGTTAAACTCAATATGGTTGTTGCCCACTATATAAGGGAACACCATGGCTTTTGAAGACAGATTTGGAATATCAAGTTAACCTATTTTGGTGAGACTAGTTCTCTTGGGTTCTTTTGAGAATCTCTGAACTTATCAAGGGCATCAATCCTTGTGGCGTTCTTGGGCTTATCAATTCCTTCGAATTGTGGCGCCTACCTATAATCCTTAAACTCCAATTTCGTTCTATATTATCTTGGATTCATATCTCTCGAATTCCTTATCCTTTTCCGGTGATTCTTGTGCCAAAATCGTGATTCAGGAAGCCATCTTTCACCTCGTTTTGGAATCACCCAAATCCGAGGTCTGTAGCGTGAGATACGCTCTGTTCTTAACAGGTCGTGTTGGTAGATGAATTTGGGGTTAGAATTCCATTCCTAGTAGATCCATTCCTCCATTCCTATTGGGGATCACATCACTTATCCTGCAATTATCTACCACAATGGGAGGCAAACCGAAGGTCCCAATGGTGTCCGATTTGAAGGAAAAATGAAAGCGATGAAAAACAAACTGGGCAATACATACAATGAACTGAAAGAAAAAATTCACCAAAAATTGGGCTACAAGGCAACCAAAGTATTCATCACTTGATAGCCAGGTAAGAGACTCTAGTTGATAAGGATACAATATGCTACATTGGTAACGATATCAATGATGATGAAGATGTGGAGTTTGTCACAGATGTATTTGATGACCAAAAAGTACAAAAATTTATTGAGATATATGTTGAAGTTAATTTTGGTCAGTGTTACCCATGCATACAAGCACTCCATAGTA